TGTGTGCCTTGACCACCGACTAGCACCGGCCAGCACATCTGCCCTGCAGCGGGCTCAGGGCGCCTCGGCCCAGCCTGCCCGGGGCCTCAGGCCGGCGCCCGGGCTCTGGCTCCGTGTCTTCACTCCCGTGTATGTCCGAGAAGGGAGGGAGGGACGGGGGCTGTGCTGGGGCGGCCGGAACAGTGCAGGTCACCGGGCTGGCTGGCCGAGGTGGCCAGGAAGGGCTGAGGGGGGTCTGCAGGCAGGCTGCAGGGGGGTGGCTGTCACGAGGCCAGTGGGGTGGGTTCACCTCACAGCTGTGAGCAATGGATGGGCCAGCAGTGCCAAGGAACCCAATGAGAGCCTGCCCAAGGGGAGCTCCCTGTGTCCCCTGGGTGTTTTGTCCTCTCCTCTCTCCTGTCTGCATGAATGGCAGGATGGGAGAGGGGCAGGGTCCACTAGGGGACCTGAAGGGTTCGGGAGGGTGGGCAGCCAGCCGAGGAAGCTGTCCTCCCCTGTGGCCTACAGGTGCTTACACCCTGGCAGCCCACACCCACCTGAAGAGCTGTGTCTGCCCAGGATAGCCTGCACCCTCCTGCCTGCCCACCGCTGCCCCGTGACCCAGCCAGCCTGGCCTGGTGCCCATGACAGCTGAGCCCATGGCATTACCTGGAAGCCCCAGGCTGGCACCTGTGGCCCCTCACCCCCAGGACACCCCCCAGCTCACCCCAGGCCCAGCCCCAGCACCACCACGAGCCTGGTGGTCCCGAGCAGCAGGGAAGGGTCCTCGCCGAAGTTCTCCTGGCCTGATGTTAGAGGGGAGGCTGGCGGGGGTTGGGGCTCAGGTCTCTCCTGGCTGGGTGTTCACAGCCCCATGGCACTGCCACCACCATCTGGGAGACAGTCCAGTGTCTGCCCTGCTCTGCCAGCTAGGACCCCAGGGAGAGGACCCTCGTCCTGCCGTGTCCTGCCCCCTGCTGGCAACGGTCTGGGGCCACAGGCAGCAAAGGCAGCTGAGAGGAAGAATGGTCCCAGTTCTCCCTGTCTGGAGGTGCCTGCCCACACCCCCCGCGAAGGAAAGGAGACAGGGACGGGGGTGCCTCCTCTCTACCAGGCCCAGGGAGCCAGGTTCTGTCCCTCCACCCTAGCTAGTTCCCATGAGACCCACACTGGCCGGAAAGGCCTGATTCACCCCGATTCACCCCAAGGGGTCAGGCCTCAGACCCCTGATCCCCACCCCCTGCAGGCCTGAGGCTCTCCAAGGCGGGGCACACAAGTTTTGTTCCATCTACCCCAAGGTCAGCCCTGTCCCAAGGTAGGGGCCACGGCGCCCCTCAGACGAGCATGCTAGTCACTTCCAAGGCCTGGGAGCAGGGGCGGTGGTTGGTGTCTGGGAGCAGAGGGCACCTGGGGCCCTGGGGAATGCGACTGCTGGGCAGGTCTGGGGGGCTGTCTTCTCTGCCCCTGCCCTCCGCCCACCTCCCTCCGGTCCTACCCAGGTGCCCAGTGGCCTGCCTCTCCCCCTGTGCCTGTGGCTCTGCCAGCCTCTCCTCACTGTCACACTGATGGGCACAGAGCCACCAACAGGCCACACTGCAGCTCTCCCCACTTGTCTCTGCTTCCCGGGGAGCTGTGCACAGAGGGTGCAGGAGTGTGACCCAGTCACTCCCACCCCCACACACAGGCCCAGAGGCCGCTCCGTCCTGAGGTCCAGGTGTGAGCTGAGCTGCTCAGGGGCGTCAGGGACGGCCCTCCTCACATGCAGGGTGGGGCTGGGAGGAGCTGAGTGGGGACAGCACCCCACATCGCTGCCCTGGGGCTCAGCCTTCTGCACCCCTGCTCCTCTGTCCTGCCCCAGCCCTCACCTGCCTTCACTTAGCCCACCTAAGCTGTGCCACCTCCTGGGGTCTGCCCCCCACCCACCGAGCTGAGAGAGGCCCATTCCGCTGGTCCCCAAAGGTGTCTCGGCTCAGGTCCATACCCCCTAGCCTCCGTGTCTCTCCTCTCCCTCACGCCAGCCCCTCCCCACAGGTGAGCACCTGCGGATCTGCCCCCAGGGCTACACCTGCTGCACCAGCGAGATGGAGGAGAACCTGGCCAACCGCAGCCGGGCCGAGCTGGAGGCCGCCCTCCTGGACAGTGGCCGCGCCCTGCAGACCACGCTTGCCACCCAGCTGCGGGGCTTCGACGGTGAGTGGGCTCGGGGACTGCAGGGCACTGGTGGGGGGAGCTGGGCACTTGGGGACCTCTCCCTGTAAGGCAGGGTCAGGAAGCTGGGTAGACTCCAGGATTTGGGGGACAGAGCAGGAGGCTGCTCACATGCAGCGGCCCGAGCAGGGAGTCCATGAACTTCACAGGGGGCCCTCTGCCCTCCAGGTGGCTTCCTGTCACCTGGAGCTCTCCTGAGCTCCTGCCAGGGACAGGCCTTGTGCTGGCTACCACGTGGCCTGGAGCCAGCTCAGTGCGAGCACTGAGATTAGGGGCTGGGGCTGGAGGATGAGGCTGCAGGGTGCTGGGGGGTGGGGGCGGGAGTCTGGGGCCCCTGGTGTGGCCCTTGAACCTCGAGGGCAGCTGTGTGTTTGAGTCATTTACTCCCAGCCTCTCACAGGCTCTGTTATCCAGTCTGCGCCCTAAACGGGGGTGGTGGGATGATACAGTGACGTCTACAGTGGGCACCTCAGAGGGGGTGGGTGGGTGCCGGCGGGAGGGTCCCCCAGGAAGTGATTGAACTGACAATCGAAGCCCGAAGTCTCTGGTGGAGGGAGAAGGCCCCCTGCGGAGCTGGTGGAGGGGCAGGGAGCCAGGGCGGAGAGAAGGGGGAGGGTGGGCATCTGAGGCCGACAGGCAGCCCCAGCGTGACCTCCTTCCATCGGAGGCCCATGGATCTCAGCTCCTGGACTCCTGCCCGTGGGGCTCACCTCACAGGCTCCCAGGGAAGGGGAGACCTCAGCTCGTTGGCACCTGCCCTGTCGCTGTTGGGTCAGCTGCACCATCCCTGTATCTCCAGTGACGACACTCAAGCCGTCCCAGCTGCCCGGGCAGGGTGGGTGGGACATGAGCAGCCCCTCTGATGTCACCCAGCACCCCTAGGTCGGTCCCATGTGTGGAGACCCCGCACCCCCCCCAGCCACATCCGGAGGCTCCCTGCCGTCACTGAGACCTGCAGCCCTGACCCTACTTGCTCCCGTCACACCTCCTGGTCTCATTTGCGTCCTGTCAGGTCACCCGCAGCCTGTCCCTTCATCTCTCTCCTGCTCCGTCTCACCACCATCCTGCTCCCTCCCTGCTGCGAGGTGGCCCAGGCGCCCCTCCTCTCTGAGGCCCAGCCTGAGGTCTGTGCCCTGCTGCCGGCCCCTCCACTGCCCTCCAGAAGGCCCCAGCCTTCTAATGTCCGTGCCTTCCCGTGTGGCGTGCAAACACAGACACCCGTCTGAGACGCTAATTTGTACGAAAGGTGATCCTCAGCCCCCCCACACCATGGTGCCTGGTCAGGCCCCTCCATACCTGGGGAGCAGCCCTCTCTGGGGCCACCAGCCTTGGTCAGAAGCACCTCTGGAACCCACGTCTAGCTGGGCCTCGGGCGGCTGGGATCCAGGACCCTGGGCCCAGGTCTCTCAGCACACCCACCACAGCCCCCGGCTCTGCAGCCTCAGGGCCAGCTGCCCAGGGCCTGGCTCAGAGCAGGACCCTGGTCAAGGGGTGGGGCCGGGAGCTGGGCGTGGGTGTGCGGGCCTCCTGACCACCCTGTGTGCTGCTGGGTTAACGACTCAACTACAAACTACCCATCTGGAGGAGAGGCCTGGGTTGGGGAACCAGAGTCCTACGGTGGGAGCCGGGACAGGACCTTGGACCATCCGCTCCCCACCACACGCCTGCAGCCAGGCGCCGGAGCCACCCAGCTCCCTCCCAAGGGGCACGGCCGGAGCCACGGAAGGTCTCCTGCCCCAGCCAGCCCATCAGCCCGAGGCCTTGGGTGGGGTAGGGGTGGGCGCTGGCCCTCCGGCCCCGGGCCTGATGTCCCCCATGCCTCAGAGCAAAGCCGACCTGGCCCTGTGTCCTTGGGACACAGAGTTTGAGCCTGTGTGGGGAGGGGTGGCCACAGCTCTTGGGGACGGCCTGTGTGGTTATGACTCCACAGTCTCCCTGCTAAAAGGGGTGGACGATGTCTGGGGCCCCGTTCTCAGCACTCAGGGTACAGGGGCACTTCCCGAACCACAGAGGTCTACTGTCAGTGCTCACAGCCCACCTTGTTGCGCCCTCGTCGACACGCCCTCGGGACCCTGGGCGCATCCCGAGGGCTGTGGGAGGTCCGCTCCAGGCCCTCAGGCAGGCTGGCTTCTGGAACCAGAGGGAGGTGCCCAAGAGACAGAGGCAGAAAGGCAGGGGGCCCGCGGGAGCCTCAGAGACAGGCAGAGTGGAGAGGGGACAGACGCCCCTGGGTGACAGGCATGGGGGAGGTGGAGGGAAGAAAGGAGAGCTGCCGAGAGGGAAGGCAGGTGAGGGTTGCCCTGGGCCTTCTCCCCACAGTGGTCCCAGCCCTGGCTCAGAGGACCCTCCTGCCCCCTCCACAGCAGCCCCTCCCAGGCGACCGGGTGGAGCACTGGGGCTCCGTCTGTCCTCCGCCCGAGGCCCGGCTCAGAAACGAGTACTGGATGCCAGGAGGGGGGGGTCTCAGGGGCCTCACGGGGGCACCCTGGCTGTCCAGCCTCTGCTGCCTGGGGCTGGGCTCCGACGACTCCTGGAGCAGCGGGT